TCCTGACACAGAGTAGATACCATGCTTCCAAAAGACACCATGTCCAGGCCCTCACACGTCACGGATCAATGCCCAGCACTGATTTCAACTCTTCCTTCAAAATCGCCATCACCAGACCTTCTCTCCAAAGGCACTGAGATACAGGCAGCTGGCTCAAAGCCCTGGAGGCTGCAATCTCCAACTCAGAGGTGTCCAACAGCAAGGTCCAAGTCTATAAACGTTAGGCTCCCAGGCCCTCTCCAGCCTTCATACTAGAGATCAGAGGATTTGATTTCTTCCTTGATAAAGCAAAAGTTGCCCGCACACATTCAAACCACCAGGGAGCAATCCTCAGACAAGAACAAAACCCCAGAAAGGTGACCCTGATAATGGTTCAGATTTGAAAGGAGCCTGCGGCATATTCATCATCTGACACAGTACACCGGCCAACACCTATAAGTAAACACCTTCTTCCACTTCAACAGGATTCACATCCTGCCCCAGCTATGTCATCTGCTCCCTCCAAAAGCAAAGCAAAGCAAAGCAATGAACAAAATGCCTTTGTTCTGCAGAGAAGTGAACACAACGCCCACACAGAGGGTAGAGCAGGGATCCAAGCTTAGATATCCAGTGTTGGTTGAGAGACCTTTAAGCATCCCTCATGGCCTTCAGCTACCATTGCTTGCCTTTTAGAGATTCTTCTGTGTCCTGGATTCCTCATGAACACCTCAAAAAAGTGATTGTGAGGGTGCCTGACTAGCAGAAGGCCAAAACAAGGCAGAACTGATCACTGGGAGCAGCAAGGCAGTTGCTGCTCGCTGCTCTCAGCACAGCTCTGTGTGTGACACCACCGAGAAGGGCACTTTCAGGTCTGCATGTCCAACCTCAGCACTTCCAGCTTTGTCATGTGGGACAGACCTGGAAGGGCTCCTGTGTGCTAGGAAGCACACAGATCAGTAACTGGCATCAGAAACTTGGACCTTTCTGTGCGGGCACCTAACAGCAGTTAAGGACTCAATATCAAAGAGCACGAGCAGAACAGGGCTGCTTGCTGGGTGCTCTTTTCTGTGAGCCCTTTCTCTACAGAAATCACGTGCAAACTTGCCTGACCATCACATGGCTCCATTTCCTGAAGCACTAATTAGATGGCATGACTTTTGCATGGGGTCACAAGCCTCCTCAGAGGGCCTGGAAACCTATACGGCTGTCCAGGAACTATGAGGCAGCTCTCCCCAAGGTACTGGTTCTCATTTGCCCATCCTAGCATCTGATGCATGAGACACCACCGAGGTGTACAGGGGTATGTAGTGTTCCTGGGCCAAAATCAACACACAAAACGGGACCTTTTCTGAATACAGAACACCAGGCAGGCCCTTCTTCTGTTTCCTAGGTAAACAACCTGTGCTATCACCGCTAAGCCCGTCCTCCAGGCTGCTTCCTGGTAGCTTTGTTTGTATAGACTTAGTGCTCTCCAGAATTTCAGGTGAATGTCGCAGGAACTCCGGGCTGCCAGCACAGTCAGAGGGCAACCACAGTCAGAGATTGACCTGAGCACATGCAGGATCCTGCAGGTGTAGCAGGTGCCTGGGCTGCTACACAGGGTTACGCAGGCTTTCCTCTGGCACCACAGAGCCCGTGCACGGAACTCTTGCTCCAAGAAGCTGCCTCATGCAGCCGCTTTATTGGGATGGCAGAAGAAGAATTGGCCAAAACCAGGTTCAGGCATAAGATCTGATTTCAGTGGGTGCCAAAGAGGCTGCGGACAGATCAGACCCTTCCTATGCCCACTGCACAACTTCTCCATCCTAGCTGAATCCTCGCAGTGCTCGGGAAGGGCAGTCTTGTAACTGAGCCTGCACTGTGACCTGCACAAAAACCCTGTTCTAAGTGGGTTTTATTCAGATAGCATTTCAGCCTAGAGGCAAATAAAGGGACAAGGGTGGAACAAGAAAAGCTAGTATAGCGAGGTTAATTGTTTATACAAAGATTGTGTGAAGCGAGCTTTGCCCCAAAGCAGACGTATCTCCCCAGAAGGGGTCAGTGACGCTGACATTTACATTTGGCTTCCTGCTGCGGGAGGCCTTGCTTAGGCACAGTTTAACCTCGCAGGACACCTTTGGGGACGGATTTCCCATCCCATTGACCTCCTCTGTGGGGCAAGGCAGGGCGAGCCTGGACCACATGTGTCCTAGAAGGGAAAGGTGTGAATTTGCAAGACTTTGTTCAACTACATCCCAATATATTGTTCATGCACGTCAAGCCAGGCGAGGGGGCAGGTGCGCGGTGCGGGCAGCAACCAGAGCCGCGGGGCTGCGTGTGCGGCCGGCCGGGGCGGCCTGTGTGTGCCCGGCGCCGAGGCGGGAGCGCGGGCCACGCCGCTGCACGCCGTTTGTGCTGAAAACGGGAAGAACGGTACGCAGCCTGCTCGCCGAGCAGCCGGCGCACGCAAGCACGCGGCGGGGCGCAGGGGCGGCCGCCGCGCGGGGCGG